TTGTGATGTTCATGTGCTCCTTTATCTTGGCTGCATCCTTCTTAATTGTCCTGATCGTAGACTCGTTAACACCATGCTGGCGCGCGAGATCAACCTGTCTTGTTCCTTTCTCCAACTCTTGTATGATCTTATATTTAATTTCGTAGCTTAAGGAACGTCGTGTCTTCTTTGGCTTAGGGCGGCTGGGTCCAGGTAATGCAAGGTTTCTTTGTGGTGGTGGTGGTCCGGTGGAAGCCATTCTTATTGAACAATGGATACCGATATACACTGTGTAGCCGGGAGGGGTGTAACTGACACGGGTAGGTCAAGGGGCTTGAACACTTCCGCGGCGGGGCACGTCATAGTACATTAAACCAATCACAGCTAGCGGGAGGGAGGTAAGGATGCTTTGCCCAATCACAGTCCGATACGTCATATGACGTCACCGATAACGCAACAAAGACATAAACTGCGCAACCTACTCGCGCCGCTTACACAACATGGCGGGAGGTTTGGATCCAAAAATGGCGCGGCGCGAGAGGACCGCCAGCCGCTCTCCGCGTGAAAGGGTACACACACCGCGGAAAGTGAGCATTCCGTGTTCGGCGGGGTACCGCGTAAACATGGAAACGCGTAAAGTGAAACCGCGTAAAGCAAGGGTTTACTGTATACTGTACATCTTTATGTAGAGGTCTTTTGCATTTTTCATGTCCCTGTTCATATTAATGCTTTGTTCTGTTAATGGATCCACTTCAGAAAATATGTTCATTGTTTGCTCCATATAATATCCACAGACCTCTCGCCTTTTTTCATATTTTAACACATCTAGTTTCTTGGCTAAACTTATACTGTAAACTTTTTATTAGCTTTTGAACCATCACTTGCTATCTTGCTCATGTTGAATAGGTATGCAAAAATGCCATAAAAAATGCGAGAAAGTTTTCTCCTTTTCCTGTTCAGATGCATGAAAACAAAGGGCCTGCCAGCTGCCATTGTTTATTCTAGTGATGCTGGCGTCTCCACTCACCACTAACAAGCCTGGCAGCCTCCGTGCGCAAGGTGTTTTTTTTTTTATACATATCAGGATTTAGTTATTATTTTAATGGAAGTGTAATTTTTATTTAATTTTTTTCTTCTAATTTCGTCGTAAATACGAAGAAAATAATGGCGTAAATTGAATTGGGTCCTAAATTAACCAGGGTCTTAGATATGAACCGTCGTTATCAGAGGCTTTACTGTACTATATACTCTTATTGCAATAGAAACAAACCTATTGTATATTGTAATGGAAAAAATTACAGTATTTGAAGCAGAAAATAAAAAGAATACATATACAGTGGGGTATGCTATAACGAATCTAATTGGTTCCAGAACCTCGTTCGTTATAGCATTCGTTCGTTATAGGATTAATCCGTTCCAGGCCCCCAAATACAACCACTTAACACTGAAAAAATTATGTGGAAAATGTAAAAAATACGGTACTTTATCTTACCTTAGTGTTGTTCAGCATTCAGGACAGGAGGCAGAGGAGGAGGAGAGAATTATGTAGAAGAGGTGGAAGGAGAGGAGTCATCCTTCCTAGCCCTCTTTGGTGACTCTTACAGGCACTTTGTCTGTAGGGTCTTTTGTTACCTTTGTAAAGAAGGAATCCAGGGTTGGCTGCTTCAACCTTGATTTCTGGACCTTCCAAAAGTAGTTCATAACATTGTCATTAAACACACTGATGACCTTTTGCACAGAACCAACATCAGGATGAAAATCCTCAGCAAGTTTGGATAGTTTGCTCCAGCAAAAGAACACATCCTTGAGATCTTTGGCTGGAATGATGCGGCTTTCATCCTTGTCCTCCTCCTCCCCTGACTCCTCAGAAGTTAAGCTCTGCTTCAGTGTCTCATTTTCCTCTTTGTGAAGCTCAAGCAGCTCCTCAGTGGACAGTTCCTTACTGTGCTCTTCCACCAACTCCTCGACATCATCATCATCCACTTCCAGGCCCATGGAATTGCCCAGAGACACAATTTCATGAACAACAGCCTCTTCTTCTAACTCTTCGAAGCCTTCAAAGTCTCTTTGAAGGACACATTCAGGCCACAATGGCCTCCAAGCAGCACAAAGACACCTCACAGTAACCTCTTTCCAGGCTGAGGTAATTAAAAAAACAGCATCTGCTATATTGAAGTGTCTCTTCCAAATTCCAAAATTCCTTCAAGCTAACATCACTGGAAGAAGTGGACGCAAAACATTTTCTTAACAGTGCCTTTGTGTACAGCTTCTTAAAGTTAGAAATTACCTGTTGATCCATGGGCTGGATGAGAGGTGTTGTGTTGGGTGGCAAGAAGTGCACAGTGATGAAGTTGAACTCCTCTGGCAGTTCAACCATCAAATTAGGAGGGTGGGCTGGTGCATTGTCCATCACCAACAAAGCTTTCAGTGGAAGATTATTCTCCCCGAGGTATTCCCGAACAATGGGTCCAAACACCTCAATCACCCACTCAGAGAATAAATTCCTGGTCACCCAAGCCTTTGGGTTTGACCGCCACATAACACCAAGGCGGGTCTTCCTAATTTTTTTAAACCTCTGGGGTTTTCTGCATGGTACACAAGGAGTGGCTTTATTTTGCAGTCACCAGAAGCATTAGCACAAGGAAGGAAGGTAAGCCTGTCTTTCATTGGCTTATGGCCAGGGACAGAAGTTTCCTCCTTGGTAATGTATGTACGGCGAGGCATTTTTTTCCAAAAAAGTCCAGTTTCATCACAGTTGAATACCTGCTGAGAAACAAAGCCTCCCTCTTTAATAATATTCAAAAAAATGTCATGGTGTTCCTTAGCTGCTTCCTTATCTGCACTAGCAGCATCACCATGTCTCACAACACTATGTATTTTATTTCTCCTTCTGAAACCAGTAAACCACCCCTTGGTACCCATAAACACTGGCACATCACTATCACTTGCACTGGGAGTCTTGGCTTTAAGGTCCTCAAACAATTGTCTGGCCTTCTCACAAATTATAGCTTCACTAATGCTATCACCTGCCATTTCTTTCTCCTTTATCCACACTAAGAGTAAATTTTCCATCTCCTCAATCACATTACACCTTGCTTTGCTAAGTCTAGAGATTCCCTTAGCCACTTGCACTGTTTTCAACTCCTCTTTATTCTTTAAAATCGTACATATAGTCGATTTAGCCATCCCATACTCATCACTAAGTTTCGCAAGGCTTGTTCCATCCTCACGTTTCTTTATGATTTCTTTCTTAGTTTCAAGAGTTATGAGCTTGCACACTCGCTTTGGACGATTCATTGTCACAATTGTACACTTGTATAACAAAGTATTTATACAAGTAACTCTATTTCCACATCAAACGACGAAATTTCAACAATAACATTGGTGCACTGGCTACACAATGAGACAAAGATGGCGCCTGACGCTCTTGTTGTGGGTCGCGGTACAACAATATTCATGCGCCAGGCGAAATAGTCCCGTATTCATCCGCGTTCGTTGTAGGAGTTGCGTTCGTTATAACATTCTCAATTTTATAGGTAAAACCGTTCGTTATAGGAATATTCGTAGTAGGATCCGTTCGTTATAGCATACCCCACTGTATGAATACCCTATAGTACCATTACAGTACAGTAATGCATATGTTAATTACTAGTAAATATTCGAACTTAACAATATACAACAAAGTATCAATATACTGTACCTTATCTGAGATTTTGCTGAAAATTGCAGGCTAGCAGAGATAAAAAGCAAGTGCATTAAAGTCATAAATGTTCATATAAGCCAATAAGTGAAGTTTTTTTTTTAGGCAAGTTGGAATAAGTTGTGTGGCATTCTTGTTGTAATGTCGTATACAAGATCAAGTGCATGTGTTTTGCTCTCAACTGATAGATGATGTTTTCTTTAATATTCTTTCTTTTTTCATAAAATCATCATTTGAAAGATTTCAAGTTCGATTGTCAAATTGTTAAACATTTATCAAAGAAAACAAAATTTGAATTAATGATGCCTGGCAATAACAGAAAAGCTGATCACAGCAGGCTGCCATAGATGCAGACATGAGCATTTTATTAGTAGTATTATTGTATCTCTTGTTGCTTATGAAATAATAAGTTAAAAAGTCCTTCTTTATTCATGGAAATATAGTTTGTGTTGAATAATTAGAATTTAACACTCAGCAGAGAAAACTTTTGATGTGGCTGCTCAAAGTAGTGGCAGGCTTGAAAATTGTGTAAGGAATGTGCTGATAAACAATTGTGCGACTATAAATTGTAGATAAGAGGGTGTTTAAAACTCCAGGTATAACCCTCTTGTAATTTGCAGGACTCCAAGTGAATAGTATGGTAGCAAATTCAGTTAATTGCTCATTTAGTGATTTTGAAAAAATAAATAATAATAATAATCTGTGGAGTGACTATAAAGTGAAGCAAGTATTAAAGATATCACAACCCAGTAAACAAAGTACAGTAATGTGTACGTATAGTAACAACCATTAATTACTATACGTAACATTAAACCACCAAACCATACTATTTAACTCAGAAATATTGTAAGATCGGTGGGATAGCCAAGCTTTGGTTTGTTTAGTTCGTTTTGTCTATCATAATGAAAGATTTGCTCTGACCTTGTTTAAAGGAACATGGTAGTTGTAATATGAATATTTTTGTAAGTTTTGGCAACGTTAATTGATTTTTTTTTATATAAATAGAAACTGATTCTGCAATGAAATTTTGTTTAATAGCTGTAGAGTACACTATTAAAATGAACAATTATTGACTGTTGTTATCGTATCATGCTTGTTATTGACTATCAACTTGTTTTGTGTATTTTTGCCTCATAGGAACTTATTGAACTTAAGAACTCTTACTGGTAGTTACATTTTTAATTATAGTGAGTGAATAATGACACATTCTTTCAAAACTCTTTTCATTGGTGGAATCATTCACAGATATAATGCAAAGAATTTGTAGCACTTCAAGTAACATCTCAATTGTATTTCATTTATATTAATCTCTTGCTTTTAGGTGGTGTGAAAGAGAGACGCATGAGAACTGATAGTGATACTTCAGTTGAAGTTGATGAGCGGCCTGCTAGTGTACCCTCGGCAGAACGCCACCGAGATGATAGAGATGAACGGCTCGATCGCTCAGACCAGAGAGACTACAGATACGAGCGTTCTGAAAGGGTTGAACGATCTGATAGAATAGAGCGGCCGGAACGAGTGGACCGGCCGGAACGTGTAGATCGCCCAGAGCGTGTAGATCGCCCAGAACGGGTAGATCGCCCAGAACGGGTAGACCGCCCAGATCGAATTGAAAAACCAGAACGCCCAGAACGGGTTGATTCGCGAGGTCGGGATGACTTTTATGATCGTTCAGAGCGAGATGGGTAAGTCAGGATATAATTAATATTATGGATTATAAATTGTCGATGACTTTTGTAGGAAGTTAAATGTGGTGTCCATTAGATTGCCCTTTACTGTACAAAGTTTCAAGTGCAATGGACTTTGTGTGGAGTTGCAAACTTTGCTCTATGACATTGTGACCATGTGGCTGCTAATGTAAACATTTTATATTAGCCTTCTAAACAGTGATGCTTAAAAAGTTTTTAAGTTATGGATATTGTGAAGAATATTTTGTTAATTTGTAAGAGAATTGTAGTTGAATATGTACAGTTACTGCAAAGGGTATCTTTACGGAGAGGTCTGATGGTTTAAAGATGAACAGTGTGGCTCCTGTTTTCTCGGTATGGTTGTCAAAATTCTTTGTCAGTTGTGTCATAGTGTCCCACAAAATCATAAAGATGCCATTTGGAGGGACTGTACATTATTAATGGGCCTGAATTCTTGAGTTACCTATGGTTCATGAGAAGATTAAATTAAATCTTGTAAGTAAGAAGAAAATTGAATAAGAATGCATAAATTTATTTTTATATACTTCCCATTTTTTTGTTTAGTTTTCTGTATCCACTACTTTTACTTTAGTAGAGTCCTCTTTATTTCTGTGTTTCTTAATCGCTTCATTATTTTCACTTCGCGTATTGCCATCAAGTTATTTCCGATGCTTCTAATATCTATCTATATCTTGCATTCACAAGCGTTGTTTCTCACCATTGTATCAGTGAAAAGGAAGTTAGTCATTCCCATCCTTTTTGAGCTAAGGTAGGTTTGAGTAACCCATTTTAAAGTTCCTTCACAATACTGTAATTATTAGTTTATAATTGAGTAATTTACCAGTGATATTAGGTGTTCTTTTTAACTATTAGTTCATCATTTGTTCATTGGCATTAGCATTGTCTGTATCTTATTCCTGAGAAAATCTGTTCAAAGTCCTGGACATTCTCGGGAAAAGGGTGCCCAGTTGTTGGATTCTCTGCGCCTTTCGTGGTTAACTTAAATCCACCTACTCTGAGTGGGGAGATGCGATTATTGTACAGCCTAGTAATGCCCACATTATTATATCTGCACTAGTGTCGTCTGGAGAGTCCCTTACCATTGACCAACTCCCAATCCATAGTTGGAGACTTATTACATCTCTGAAGAATAGGGGAAAGTAGTACAGTATTGTACAAACACAAACTCAATTTTGTTGTGTTTGTGTACATATTATTATGTTTCTATTTATTTATTTATTTTTTGTAGGAGGTATCGTGGCCGTGGATCTCAAGGAAATTATAGAGATCGGGAACGTGAAAGTTGGGCACGTACGACATATCATGAGAAGTTTGAAGAGCGTACAGAACGTGCCAGCCATGATCAAAGGGACTTTGATTATGACAGACGGTAAGTTGCTGATGCCAGTAGCTCCTTTTAAAATTGAAAAATTCATTATCTAACTTGTTAGAATTACCTATGTAGTAGGTATTGCAATATTATCAAGGCAAAAGACAAAATGGATCAATAGACCAAACATTTTGTCAGTTGATTTTTCTTTTATTCATGCATTACAAATAATTAGGCAAATTTTGATGCAAGGATTCTGAAGCAACAGTCATTTAGTATACCAAAGGATTGAGATAAAATATAGGAACATTTTTTTGGGTGTGACTTTTTAATATTTGACCCTGGACTTTAAATATAACTGTACTGTACAGGTAATTAAATTAACATATTTGCATATTTTTTATGTTCAATGAATAACCTAGGTTTGTCATCACCAAGAAATTTTTTATGACTGTTGTAAGATGGAAAGTATGGCAAAGTGGGAATTTGGAATGGCTGAAATTTTATAAAGCATTGTCAAGACATAGATTTATGTCAGGAGTTACAGTAATACCTAATCTATTTTTAACTGAATGAAGTACTGTAGACTTTGTGATTGAGAGTGGTTTATCAATTGCTTTCCTGAAATAAGAAGGAAAAAAATAATGACAAAAAAAGGGATAACCAATAGCTATCACTTTAAAAGATTAGCTATATATAAATAAAGAAGGATTGGTAACCTTACCAAGCTCACTCTCTCTTTACATTGTATTGTATGGCAGTGCCAGACATTTCATATCTAAATTCTAGAAAGGTCTCATAATAATTTTGTTGGTAAGACAGACATATTATCACATTAGCTTTAATAGGATTTTTCAAACCTCTGCTCAGTCACTGCTGTTGAAATGACAAGCCTTTGTCAGGCAAGGTGATTTTTTTTAGGAACTGACAGGTCACATCTATCTTCATGGATTGAATTGGATAATTTCTCACAAGCACATTATCTAAATTAAGATCTACTTATGTCAAGCATTGGGTAATTATTTCATTGGTTGTTCTCCTATTTGATTTTTGGGTTTCCAATCTAAATATTTGTTATGCAAGTGCAAGTATAGGGGCATTTTTTTGAATGGCAGCTGTCATTAGATATCATAAACCAATTAGATTATCAATATCTAATACATTATTATATATTCAGTATATCATATATTGTATATTTGTCTTTGACACAGGCGTACTGTAAATGGGGAAGACTTGGATAACCGAGGAAGAGATTTTGAGAGAGAAGGTGGCAAGAATCGCCGCTTAGACAACAGAAAGAACTTTGAAGATCGGAAGGAAAGGCCAGAGAGAGGGGAGAGTCTCTTGGAGAGGCGTAGTGATGGAAAAATAGAATCGTGGAGTCGTCCACATGATACTGAACCTCTGATCAGTAAGGAGTCCTCAGATTATGAACCAGGCGAGCTACGCATGGTTCATAAAGAGTGGGACAAAGAAGTTGAGGCTGCTGAAAAGCAAATGGAAGAGTTACGTGATCGCCCACAGCGTCCAGACAGTAGGGACAGCAGGTCCAGTCGAGAGTCTCGCGCAAGCAAGGACTCCTTTGATCGTTCATCAAATCTTCTTCCAAGGGAAAAGAAGTTAGAAATCACTTCATGGGCAGATGCTACCTATGAATATGATGACTATTATAGAACAGAAGGAAAAGTGGATGATTTAAGCCGGGAGCCAAGTTACCAAGAGTCCCCTAAAAAGATTGATTTGAAGGATGATAAAGCAATTAAGGTAACAGAAAAAGAGCTTAAGGAAGAGGGTGCCAAAGAAGAGTGCGAAATGCATCAGCGGGATTTGCTGAAAGAGAATGCCCGTTCTGCTCATGCCCCAGCACCCATAACTCGAGAGAAGTTAGAGGCCTCAGACAAAGAGAAAGAAATAAGGAAAAATATGACGACACTTAAGAAATCTCCTCAGGGAGAACAAGTGCGTAAAGTTGAGGTAAAGGAAGTTGTACATCCTAAGGAGCACAGAGACAATGTATGGGCGAGCCGTTCAAAAAACGCCGAACGCTCCCGCCCCGATTCCAGCGGCACGGCAACAGTGGTGGCCAGCAATGCCGGCAGCAGTTTGACCAAGTCCGGGGAGTCCAGCATTTGGGGCGTGGCCAAGCAAGCAACTTTAAACAGCGAGAGCACCATCCCAGCCACCGTGGTAGTCGCAACATCTGCAGTCAGCCAGGTCAGCAGCAGTACCAGCAACAGCAGTACCAGCAACAGCAGTACTATCGCAACCAGCACAAGCACCACAACAGTAGAGGCAGCAACAATGAGGGTAACCATCCCACAGGAGGCTGTTGGTACAACTCCAGTGTCTCAACCACAGCCCCTAATGCAGCAACTCATCCCACCACCACAGCAACAGCAGCAACAACTGCACCAGTCACAGCAGCAACAAACTCAGCTGCTGCAGCAGCAGCAGCAAAGTCTTCAGCAACAACAGCTGGCCGGAACCACATCAGACGCAACCACCACTACAACCACCACCCTCGCACCAGGGTCTTCTCTAACAGTAACCGCTGGAGGAGAGACCAATGAGGGAAATAGTGAAGTGGTTGAGAGTAAGAGTGCAGAGCGGGGCGGGGGCAGTAAGTCGGTATCTTCAGGAGCTCGGGGTAACCGAAGCAATCGCTATGAATCTTCACGGAGTGGAGGACGTAGCAGTGGATCTAGAGGTGGCACTTACCCCTTGTATCGAGGGGCTAGAGGAGGTCGTGGTGGGGATTATAATCGTCGAGGTAGAGGTCCACCGCCAAGATTCCAGAACCGTAACTACAGGGGTGAAGATGACTACTACTATGATGATTATTACCATAGTCGCCCTCATAGGGATCGCAAGGTAAGAGAATGTGCTTCTTTATATATTTACCTTTTAAGAATAATGAGTGGTTGTCATTTTGGTTTTAATTGTTATTTTTAATGTTTAGTTTTAATTTACTAAATCTTAATTTGTAGGATGATTGGAGTAGCAGTTGTGAAGGAGATTGGAGCAGTGCATCAATAATACCAGGAGGTAGTACTGCAGGAAGCAGTAACATCAACAGTGGCTCGTCTCTACCCAACAACCGAGAGGAGAGCGGCGATGGTGAGCGCTCCCAGTTTGGTCGAGGTGGCGGCCGGGGGCGAGGGGAGGCCAGGCGGGGAAGCTCCAGGGGTGGTGGTGGAGGAGGAGCTTCATCACTTCAGGGCCATACAGGGGGCAGGGGGCGGTCAGCACCAGCACACGGTGGTGGTAGTGGTGGAGGTGGTGGTGGTGGAGGTGGTGGTAGTGGCAGTGGTGGTGGTAGCGGTGGAGGTGGCAGCAGCAACAAAGCTGGAACTACTGAGGAGGGAAAAGTGTCCTGTAATGAAGCTGGTGCAGCTGATTCTGCTGGACGCAAACAACAGCAGCAACAGCAGCAAAACAGATTCGACAGGATGCCACCCAGATTCCAAAAGCGACGAGAATTTGAACGACAGAGAGGTAATGGTGGAGGCAGTGGTAGCAGTGCAGGTGGTGGAAACAGCAACAGTAATAAGAGAGGACGTGGAGCTTCAACAACTAGTGCAGGAAGTGGTGGGATTGCAACATTGTCGACTACAATGTTAACTAAACCAAACATGAAGGAAGGTACACCAGAGACTACAGAGGAGGCTGACTGGGAAACTGCATCTGAAAGCAGTGACCCTGAGGCTCGAAAAGAGAATAAGGAGAAGGCTGCAGCCACAGTGGCAAAAGTGGATCATCGCAAGGGAAACAAGGCAGATAGGAAGATCGGTGGTGGTGGCTGGGCTCCCTCATCAGGTGGGGGCTTAGCACAGGGACGTAACTCACTTGGCAAGGAATCTAAAGCTGAGGGCCAAGGTGTTTCCCAAAGTACTAGCCAGCAGAGGTTTGGTGAGAAGAAGGCTCTGCATAAAAATGAGAAAAATAAGAATGGACCTACAAGTGGAAAGGGCACAAAAACTGAAACTACTGTCAATCAAGTGCATGAGATAAAGTTAGACCCTACCATGGTTCACCAGGCTCTCTCTGATGTCAACAACAAAAGTAAGCCCAAGCAAGAGAAAGCCAACCCATTGGAGGGCATCGACTTGAATAATTATGCTAGTAAGTAGTTTCCTGTTGCCATTTCCACAACAATCCATGTCAGCCAATTCTTGATGAATTGATGAAAGTCAAATATTGCCCACAAGAAGCAATTGCTTTAGCATAAGCTAAGAAGAAATTTTGGAGCCTTTTATTTCACCAAGCTGATTTATTTTCCTTTTATTTGTTTTTTGTTTTTTCTTCTTTTGTGTACTGTTTTTGTTTATAGAGAAAGCATGCTACTAATACCTGGGATTAGATAAACCATAGAGTATTAAAAAGACTAATTGAGTTATTGGCTTGTAGTTAGCTTAAGTGTGCAAGATTTATTTTTATTGTGCTTTTGTTTTGAGTAACTTGTGCTAAAGCAATGAGCCACAAAAAGAATTTGACATAGATTGTTCATTTTCATTCATTAAAGCTTAGTGTGGACTCCTTGTTTCAAACTATGTTCACCCCCTAATATTTGTTGTAGTTTTGTTTTTATATGAATATTTCTGATATACCATGACTGAATATTGTAAATAAAATCTAGTGATTATTTTAGAATAATTTTATTTCAGGTGTGGTGATAGTTGACGATCAGCCACAAGTGTCTGAACTGATTGGTGATCATATGGACTCAAATGATGGGTTCCAAGAAGTGACTAGACGCAAGTCTGGAAAGGAAAAACTGAAGACCCAGTTACACGAACCTGTTTCAGTTACCACTGCTGTTAGTGAACCTGCTACTGTTGGGATAACTAATGTAGCGGGTCCAACGCCTACCACCGCTTCCAAGAAGCAGCAAAAAGAAAAGAAAAGTCGCACCAACAAAACAGGTGGATTTGAACGATCTCGTCAAAGCAAGCTTCCTCCAAGACTAGCAAAGCAGCGAGAGAATAATAGAATTAATGCAATGAAATCTGCTGGTTCGTGCAGTCCTGTAGATTCTCCAACCAACACCTTATTCCCTGTAAAAGATGCAACAGCTATACCACCACCACCCAAAAATGCTTGGGATAAACCTCTAACAGCTACATTGAGAGCTAACTCTCCTTCTCAGGCACCAACATCAGGAGATGGAACAAACCAACCTGGAGTCAAACCAACATCATTTGACAACCATGATAGTGGTGTAGAGATTAGTGACCAACCAAATTCTGGAGGCAGTAGTCAGCGATCAAGCCCAAGTGATGATCCAAACAATTTCTCAAAAGTGGACAAGAGTACTCTTGATGGTACATCAGTACCTTCCCAGACAATTATATTTGAGAATACTAATTTCAAGGCTGCAGGTTCCGTAAATGCTACTGTAGGTGCAGAATACAAGGCAAAGTTTGGTGAAGCTCCAAAGCCCCAAAGACAGCGTGAGAATAGAGACAGAAAGAGTGTTTCTCCTGAAACTACATTGTCAATGAAAGAAGAGAAGGATAAGAAGCCTGAAAAACCAGAGCCAATTGAATTACCACTCAATTTCTCAACTAAGGTAGAGGAAAATGGTACCGACATGAAATTAGACTTTACATTTGACTCCGAGTTGTCAGAAGTATCAGGATCTGTGACTACTAAGGGAATTGGTCTTCCTCGGTCCCTAGTAATGACCTCTGGCAGCATGCAGAGTCCCATATCTCCTTCAACAGATGACCTTAACCTTAAAATTGCTTCAGTTAAGAAAGTGTGGGAGACAATGGCACCTGTCCCTGAGCATGCAGAAGATGTGACCAGTTCAGTTGCCTTTTCTACAGCAAGTTTTTCAGCTGTTGATAGTGTGGCAGGGCTTGACCACTCCCCAGCACTTGAAGCTTCCTTCACACCAAAGGACTCTACTGCTGTTGGCACTTGCGAAGATCACTCTCAAGATGTAGGTGGCTATCAAGGTGGCTCACCTCTGCAGCAGGGGGCAGCTATGGGCAATGCTATGGTATACACTTCATCTGCTGTTGCATACACATCATCTGCCGCTGCATCATTGGTCAAGGCTGAAGTAAGTCGACCTGGAAATGTTTGCAAAGTGAAGCCACAGCAGCAAACTACTAATAGTTCAGTATCTCCAGGACCAACTGGATCATCTTTGGGGATCTCAGGAGGCTCATTATCCCCTCCTCTGGTGTCAGGATCAACAGGACCTTCCAATAACAGCATGTATCAAACTATAGGGGGTACAGCGCCATTTGGTGGAATTGGTGGTGCAATCCCGTCACCTCCCATGGTGTTCAATTCAAATCCACAGACTGGTTTGTACCAACCATTCTTGGATGGTACCCCTGTTCTGGGGCAAAGAGGTGCATCCCAGTTCTCACAATATCCACCTTATGGGCTTGGCCAAGGGCTGGGTAGCAATGCATTTGGTCAACAGTCAATGTTTTTGCAGACTCCACCACCTCTCACAACACCAGATCTGTACACCAATAACCTCTCTCAGTACCGACTGCAACCAACAGGAGTAACAGGCTTTGGACAAAGTCAGCCACAAAACCAAAACACTGTCCTTATATCAACAGCTTCCAATTCACTTATGTCATCAGCAGTAAAGCCATCTTCTCAAACATTTGGCAATTCACAACAGAACTTTGGCACCATTGGGTCAAAGGCTGGTACACCATTCCAGCAGAGTGGCTTAGGAACTGCATTACAAGGTGGTCCCCAGCCCTCGCAGTTGTATATATATGATCCCAGCCAACCCATGGGTCTTTTAGGATCACAGTTGGTCCAGCGACCTGGTGTACAGAATTCTGTTATTCAGGCAATACAGCCTCCAAATTCATTCTATTCTAATAATGGTGCTGGGGCACCAGGTGCCCCACCTACGGCACCTCCTACTGGGCCAGGAGGACCCCAACAAGCAGCAGGATTTTACACTGCTTCTGGATCACCACTACAAGCAGCAGTGCAGCAACAAGCTCAACCACCCTTACAGACTCCACCTGCTGCATATGGCTTACAAGGCTTTGGCAGTCAGTCTCAGCCAGGACCAGCTGGAGTTGGGATGCAGGGATTTGGATCCAGTATGAGCCTAGCAGCACAGCAACTTGGAGCACAGGCATTTCGAGGTGCTCCAACACTTCCTCCGAGTTTCTTGAAGTCCTTGCAGCCAGGGGCTAACATTCAAGAAACAACTCGCCAGCAGCTCAAGTCTCCAGGGGCAGTCCAGAACTCCTTTTCTTCAACCTTTTTTCCTCCCACAAGTAAGTGATGGTCATAGTTGAATATGATTCATTTAAGTTGAAAATTGTGAGAAATATAACTACCCAAGTTACCAAATGATTTATTTGTCATAAAATTAGCTTTTATTGATATTTTGCCCCTAAAAATTAATCTTAAAATAGTGGTCTTTTTTCTTTCTTTTTCTTTCTTTCTTTTTTGTCATGTGTCACTTGAAATGGATTGAATATGTGCATTAAGCTTTTTGAAGAAAATGGAATAAATTATAGAGAAAATAAAGTTCAAACAGCTATTCACTTGCAACTTATGTTGAGCAAGACATTATGAATAAAGGCTGATATTGCCCTAAAATTTCTCATGAATTCTTGTTGATTGGTCAGTGAATCTTTTATCTATTCATGTTCTTCCTTTATTGCAGTTCTCTTTTTATCTATGATCTATTTATTTTTCTTGTTCCTGGCATTTTTCAAGACTAGCAACTCAAGGCAGTGACTATCACTAGGTTTACCTCTCTCCCTCCCAGTTCTTTACAGTCAGCACCCGCTTAACATAAATTCAACATCGTACATTCACGGATACGTACATATGTGCCTTCCATATACTAGTATATAGTTTGATGCATCTGTGCTGGGCCTGTCTGCCAGGTGCTTGCTGATGTTTTTTGCTTTGTTAGTTTCATTTGAGTTTTGGTCACAGCTGCTAGTGTTTACAGTGTACTGTACACTGTATTTTGGATTGTGACTGAATAATTCATTATTCCCGACATTACTATGAGCGAAAAGAGAAAGGAAAGTAAAATAGATGCTGCTACATCTGGTAGGACAGTATGAAGAAGATACATGCTATACTTTTGAAGTCAAATTTATAGTAAACCCCTTTAAAATTCAATGAAATCCACCTTTCCTCTACCTAGCAATATTCTCTTCTCATCCGTAACTAATCCTCAAGTCCAGTTGCAAGTGGATACAATAACACAAGGTAAGAATCTGAGAAATTATCAGAATACTCTTACTGTAGAGATGGCAGAAATCGTTCAGGAGGCCTTAACACATCCATTTTCACATCTAAATTAAAATTTTTCCTTTGTCTCTCCTCTACATAAAAACATTCCTATTATATACTGCACTGCTCTTTGTTACTGTTTTAAATTTACTAGCTCATATTTCACCGTTCTCATGACGACAGACAATTTCTGGTAAAAAAACAAAACAACAATATACAGTATATGAATTTTCTGGGGTCGTATCTCAATTTATAAGATGGGTTTCTATTGGAAACTAATATCCGCTTAACTTAGAAGTTTTCAGGAATGCATCATTTAAATTAAGCGGGTGCTGAATGTGCTGGATATCTTTTTCACCAACTTGTCAATCATCAGACATTACACTTGTCCATACTGTATTGATATAAAGTGTACTTCATTTGTACAGCATTCCGAGGAATTTGACCATACAATATTTATTTGTCTACTTTATTTTGGAATTAAAAGAAATGGCTTTATATGATTGGTCATAAAAGGAATGTTTGGCATTTTGTATCATGTTTTTCTGATTGCATCATTCTTCAGGCAGCATATCTTCATCTGTGAATACCAGCTGTAGTAATAGCAGCACCAGTCATGGAGGTTCCAGTATGCCACAGATATCATCTCCAAAGACTCAAAGTCGAAAAATGCCCACTCAGCCTGGATTATCACACCAAAGCTCAAACAGGAATGCATCATATACAGCTCAGAATGCCTCTCAGGTATGGATATTGATGAAATATATATACAGTAATTATCAGTTTATGTACATATGACAAAACAATACTGTACTTAGTAATGGAGTGGTTATTATTTTAATTTGCCTAACATATTATATAATACAGTTTGTGTTGTACCCCACTGACTATTAAAGTATAAAGAGATATTTATGCTCTGAAATTACAATCTTGCAAATCTGGAGTGTATCATATATGCTAGGATAAATATCAAGAAAATTGGGGATGCAGAAACATTCTTCCCACAAAATTACAGTCAAACATCTCAGGCTTGTCAGTCGATACTTCTCAAAATGACATAATGTGTCATTTTCATTACGAGTCAACCTATATCCTCTTTGCCTAAATAAGATCTAGTGTGCATTTTTCTAACAGGAAAATGAATGTTCAAATTTTTTTTCGTATATTTTTAATGCAAAGTAGGAATACATTCATACCTCTCTTAGCACTTTGGATGCATTCCTGGAGAAGTGAGTTATACCATTATATATATACTGTATGGAGTTTGTTCCTGACAGTGTTATGTCTTATATAAGGGTGATGTGTGAGGGCTTCATTGGGTTATCTAAGCATAAATAATAAGATAGATGATTAACATTTGTAAATAAAAAGTCTTATGATAACATCAATAATTATTAACAAATACTAATCCAAGTGGTCACTGTAGCCAAGTGTAACGCATTAATCTCATCTCCCTGATGCTTACCAGCCTTAACTCGTTTCTCACATCGAAAGTGATACTTTTTTCCGACGTATTGTCACATCTCTAGTACTAACACTTGTGGGCCTTTTTCCAAACACAGTGGGTCTTAAACTCTTACATGAACACACAAAATTAAGACAATAAGGGAGAGACAAAGGCAAAGTAGTCTTATGTTGGCCATTTGCTTCTGCATTGCTGTTCCACTTCAGGCTGTTTCTGTACCGCCTACATCAAGTTTCCAGTATTGCTTTTGTGGGGTTACTTCTTACTTTCCTTAACCATTGTGATAACTGGTGGAGGAAGTAGGTGTGGTTGTGCTCCCACCACAGCAGGTTTAGCATTACATGCTTTCATTTGGATTTAGTTTTGTTAGTAGAATACGATGCAACCTAACCATGGCTGGGATAAAGTTTGTTGTATCGTGTCACTTAGAGTCTGTAAACCAAATTCTCTTGAAAAGCCAACTGTGTTACAGATTTTAGTCTTGGAAAGAAGACTTACCTTTTCCATAAGTTTTAAGCATTGCAGTTGGCTCTATCGTATTAGCCATTAGTCATTACTGTATTGTGGTATTCATTTACACCATGAAAAGGCATACAAAAACTGGGTGTTGGGTTTTTTTTTTTTTTTTTACAAAATCTGCTCATGGTTTCAACAATTGAATGACAACTTGCCACAACTAATACCAGGTTGGAGAAGGTATAGAAGAGTAGTTATAACAAAAAATTTATAGACAGTGACTGGTGTGGATATCAAAATTCTTAAGCCAGGTACCTGTACCTATTGTGAGCTTGAGAGATAGTGTCCTTTAAAAATTAACTTTGTAATCACTAATAAAAATATTCCTATTGGCTGGTGATATAGTAAGTTGGTAAGTGATGAGGAGGAGAGAGAAAAGACTATCAGATCACTTTGTCACTACTCAATCACTAAAATTCTATCCAGCACAATCATATTAAACAATTTTATTTTCTGTAATGAAAGCTATAATGATGATCTTGAGAGCACTTTGCTGTTATGGATAATGCTAGCAAGAAGTCAGAGTAATGCACTGTCTTGATTTATGCCTTATGGTAAATATTAAATTTTTAACAAATACCCAGTATCCTTATCAAAAGTATTGCTATGTCCTCTACCATATTGCATTGGTTTAATTAATTTTATTTTTAAATACTTTTTGTGATCGTGATTCTGTGTTTTTATATGTGTACTATGTATTTAATGTGCTATAGACTGAACAGGATGGGACAGATAACGTGTTGTATTTGATTGTGTTTGGACATGTCTTGATTGTTCTCTCATTGTGATTGCCATATTGGGGGGGGGGGGTTTCAAAGTGTTGCTGTAAATAGTATAGACAAGCTAGTAAAGATAAGCATGAATCCTTAAGCCATCAATCAAGGGTTTACAACCATATCCCCTTCACATCAACTGTTTTGGGAATTTCTATCCAATTTTTTCAAGATATTTTTATATCCCTAGAAACCAAGATTTTTACTTCATTAAAACATCCCAGTCTCTGGCCTTCATGCCATCAAGTTTTATTCATTAATTACTTGACCAATACCTAAGTTATATTATTATATATTAAAATAAGTATTCAGATTAGAGTAAGGTATGTCCAAGATGGGGTAGGAAGTAGTGGGGTTGAGACAAAGTGGCAGGAATGCCTGCCTCTTCATCTTAGGATGGACATTTAAAAAATTGGTTCAAAGGCTTCTGGACATATTTCTTTTTCTCGTTGTACAGCTATCACTAACGCTGACCTATTTGTCTTCCTTGATGACTAAAAGGCAACTGGGTAGTATTAGGTGGTATACCGTACTGGGACAAGTGACATACTCTGTGAAAACCTTGGTGCACAAATTTAAAACAGCTCTGCAAAAAAAAAATTAAATCTTATCATGATACATGTCACAGTCCAGCTTATATCATCATCATCATATGGAGTATGTCAGTCTGACTTTCATCATCATCTGATGCATGTTTTGGTTGATGTCATGAGAACAATTTAGACTCAAAGCGGTTGTCCTCATAAGATCTAACTTTTAGTATCATACATATCAAATTTCTCGGTGACGTATTATACCCCCACGCCACTAGGTGTCAGGTGCACAGGAAGGACACGTGCAGACCACGTGATGATTCTACTCTTTACTCTTCTTCACATTTTCCCCTTCCTCCTAACTCTCAAACTAGATCTGTTTCTAGAACTGATATCATTCCTTCTGTCAATGCGAATCTGTGCAGCATCTCTGAATGGGGAGGCACAAACTTGGTTAAGTTCAATAGTAATAAAACTCAATATTTACCAATTACACTTTGTAAATTACAGTGGTCCCTCGGTTAACGAACACAGTTCGTTCCAGAAGGTCGTTCATTAACCGAAACCATTGTTTCAATGGGATTTTGGGTAATTGGTTCCAGCTCACTGAAAATTGCATACAAACTAAAATTAAATGCAGTAAAGTACACTTACTTTGAGGTGTGCATGTAGAAGGCTCCTGGTTGATGATGATGATGGGTATATTAGAAGTGGGGGTGGAGGAGAAGGGAGAAGAGAAGGCAGTGAGGGTGGAAGAGAAGTCACCCCATGCTTTATGCCGCCATTTCACCCATGAAATTTTAAGTTCACTTGGTGTAATTCAAGATTATTTTCTTTAAATCAGCACTGTACTGCACTATATATTTTCAATATGTAAAATAAATTTCAGAATGACCAATAATTGTACTGTAAAAATGTAAAAATAGTTTATGTTCAAGAGAGTCTCGAGCAAGATGCTTCCTCCACTGAGCAGAGACACAAACTGATGCCATTCTGGGTGAGTCAAGTAGCTGTTTGCCGTGCTAAAAACTAGTTCCCTGTACTTCAATTATGTTAAATAATTCTTGATATTTACTCATTTGGTAACGAATTTAAGCCCTAAAACCGATTACTGTATTAGCGGACTAATACTCCAGCTGGTGAGTAGGCGAAACATGTTTCGTAAGGATTTCGTTAACCAAATTTTTGTTCGTTAATCGAGTTGAAGATTCTTATGGAAGGTAATTCGTTAACCGAGGGATCACTGTCGATGATCTCCCACCAATTACATTTCAAGACGCTATCATCCTGCCAAATTCTGAAATAAATATGTTAGGCCTCACCATTTCCTCCAATATGTCCTGGAAATCACATATCCTTAGTATAGCTAAAGCTGCCTCCCGAAAGTTGGGAATGCTGTACAGATGCCGTAACTACTTCACTCCTGAGTAGTTGCTTCAAGTATATAAGGGATTCATTCATCCTAACTTGGAGTACTGCTCTCATATCTGTGGTGGCTCTTCTGTCCAACAGTTAGATAGGGTGGAATCAAAGGCATTTCGTCTTTATTAACTCTCCTCTTTTAGTCAACAATCACTTTTCCCTTTCTCTTTGCCGCAATGTTGCTTCACTCTCTCTCTTTTACAGGTACTTTAACGGCCAATGTTCGGTGGATTTGGCATCCTGTGTACCGCCGGCAAGGCCGTGGGCTCGTAACACACGTCTAGCCTGCGGTGCCCACCGTTTCTCTGTGGATGTCGGTCACACAAGAATAACCCGTTATAGTACCTCCTCCTTTCCTCACATAGCCAAACTGTGGAATGCTCTGCCTTCTTGTGTGTTTCCATACTTATACAATCTGTCTCACTTTAAAAAGCTGGTTTTCTTCGTGGTGTAGATTAACACAGTATAACCTTTTTCTTCTCTATTTTCAATTTCTTTGTTCTTTCTTTTTTTGTACCCCCCACCCCCCCAGGCTCCGTTGTGGGTCGTTTGACCTGTGCCTGGGTGAGCTAATTCCCGTTAAAAAAAATATCTTCTCATGGTCCAGCTATGAAGGAGGCTTTGAACGAACATTTTAGTGCTATACTCTTTGATGATGATGAGGAAAAATGTTTGCTGATTGTGATTGTGCTGTGAGTTTGAGTGATAGTGTAAAAACAATGGAGATAATATCTTCCTTCTCACTCCCCAGAAGGGTTGAGGGCTAATTAATCTTGACTAACAGAACTCGTCTGACCTTGCACAATATCCCTTTAAGCAACATTCTGGCTTCTAAATTTCATGAGTAGACCTACTTACACATGTGGTGATTTTTGCCACCTCAGTGTACAGGTATAATGTTACACTCTTTTGCTGCTCATACTATTTCAACCTCTTTTTCACACTTTATTAAATCTACATTTTTACCTTTAAATTTTGTACCATTTAAAGAGTTTTAACTCTTTATCAAACCAAAATAGAGACCAATGGGTCCATCTTTTTTTTCACCAGGTAATTAATTTTCAGATGATAGGTGGGAGCCTCAGGTCAGGAATGGTAATGGGTCTACGGGGCCAACTACCTATGGCAAGCCAAAGTGGTTTGGGTGGACCAACTCCAACTATGGCTACTAGCTCCCGATATACAAATCCAGGACCCATTCAACGCCCCCCTGCATCCCAGGGTTCTGGTACAAGTAGCGGTCATCGTGGTAGCCGTGGACAGTCACAAGGGCAGCAGCAACAGCAACAAACTCAACAGCGAACATCTAATCCTCCAAGCTCAGCTCAACAAGCCAAGCTCAGAGCTGATGCCCTAAGTACTACTCAGGCTTTCTTTAATCGTGATGGTTAGTGCTGCCGTATTACTTGTATTTTGGTATTCTTCAGAACATTTAGGTTTAGAAAATTACGATGTATGAACAAATTGTATTTGTTAAAGATCAGAGGTAATAAATTTGTTAGTATTAGCATGCTATAAAAGTCTTACTGATTTTTTAATATGAAAATATTAGAGAGGATCCATATTTTATATTATCTTGTTGGTAATAAAAGATTCATGTTTACATGACTGATGCAGTGGGTTACCTCATAAAATAGCTTTGAAGCCAGTAATTGGTCAGTGAGTGAAATCTGTAGAGCATTGGGAAGGCATCATGGTAACAGTTGTAAGCCTCTCTAAGATTAGAATAAAATTTGCCACTTAAAATGTTTTCTGTTTAAGGAACTTTTGCAGTAATGTTAAAAATTAGTCTGTAAATTTCTGCATTCATAATTAGACTGTAACTTATTATTCTGTAATATGAATTTAAAATTCAAGACAACATTCAAGTCTCACTATCAAGAAGGCATGCATTTACAATAGAGCTGCATTCCTGAAAACTCTTAACTTAAATCAATCAGAATCCATGTAACGTGGGTTTCAATGGGTACGTTTCTGGCCTGTACAACAAGGACATTTAACACAGAAAAATCAATCCTACACTTATTAAAAATAAATAAAAGAATAAACACTCCACACTTTGATAATAACAAGCCTGCTGCATAACATTGTCTAACTTCTTCTCTAGAGACAGTCTTCCTATAAGCCTTGCCTTTACCAGAGATGGGAGAGTTGGCAGGATGCTTGCTAGCCATTTTAAAAATTACGGAGTTGCTGTGCACTGATAACTTAACAGTCACTAAAACAAAGCAAAATCTGAACAATGTTTTATTGTCACTGATAATGGCAAAGTACACAGTTATCACAAGGTTATGCAATGATTAATAATGATAATGTTTATTACATGAGCGTGGGCAGATGCGATCACATTGAAAGAAAGCGCAAGATTGTAGTTTGCATGGTGGCTGTGAGACTGCAAGCAGGCAGGTGAACTGCGCAGACAATGGAAAAGCAGTTTCTGCGCATATTGGCCATCTTGGATTTGACAAGTGACGGAAAGATGAGCTTCCCCAGTGTTTACATTCATCAGCAAGTTTAGCCTAATGATAACTTTCGTTAACGTTGATTTTGCCTAATGTAAATCAATCAAGATGCTAAAACCTAATTATCATTTTACATGGATTATCATAAAATGGATGAACATAAATAGGGGTACCTGTAGTTGTTATACAGTAAAACCTCCAATCAAAATGTTAATGTTTATAAGTACAGTACGTACCAGATTTGGGGTTATCAGACATAATGGCACAAACACTGGGAAAACCAGTAAAAAACAAAAGTGTGGTAGGCTGTAAACGTGCACTCCACATCTGACAGATACACGTAGACTTGTTTACATTAAGGCAGACAGTCACATCCCATGGTAACGTGTGTCATAAATATCCCTCATAATTTGAAATTTTATCAAGTATTACAAAATTTGTAACATTTCGTAACAGGAAAACATTACGAATTATGAGTGATTTCGAATTAGGGGAGTATGAATTATGGGGTTTTTGCTGTGTAACTGACTGGATGTACCCAGGTAGGGTTTAATTTATATTTTTTTGGGGGGGGGGGTGTATTGGTTGTGTTTTATCTTGTGAAATTAAAGTCCTAGCATCCCCAAACACAAAATAAGACATATTCACGATAACATAACACAGTATATTTAGTACTGTACTCTACTCACTGGTGTACTGAGGACAGCTGGTGACTCACGGTGACTACATACAGTCTAGTGACCATAGGTGGGACACTGAGTGGCTGAAGAGTGAGTGGGGCTTCGTCACTTTATTCCCATTGTTTTGCCTGGGTTTTAATTTGACTGTGCATTCATACACCTATAAAAAATGCAGTTTTGGGTGTACTGTAAAAGTGACAAAGGGAGATTCTGATATGCCAAAAATTTGTTGTGTTGGTAGGTGGGTTATTTTGTCACTTTTCCAGACACCTTACATACACTGCTTTGTTCTCGAGTCTATTCCACGTCTGGTATATAACCAGCGGAGGAATTCAAGCAAAGGTTTACTCAAAATGTGTGTCAATAAGGCAATGTGTTGCATGCTGTGCTTACAACTGTGTGTTGAGTTAAGGGTACAATTACAATTCTTTCAGGATTATCAGTTTCACAAAGCACCTCATGATGGTATTAAAGAGAATTGTTTAGGTGTCCACATTACTTTACCATGTACCGTGCACATAAATCCAATGATAATCTCAGCAAATCCACTCCTTAACTTTATTCATAAGTATTGTCACTACCTCAAGCATATTTCTGTGAATGCTGTATTGCCAAACCTAATGTACCTTTTCTGCAAGAAGGAATAAGATCATGTTGACATGTTATTAATGTTTTTTTTTTTTTTTTTTTTTCCCCAATTTTTTATAGCTGGCAAGTCGGAGAAAAGGGTTGAAGACAAGCCATCAGAGTCGATTGTATCCTCCAAAGAGGAATTGTCGACAGACAAGGTTTCTGCTTCACCCTCGACTGCAGGTGATGGCCCACCAAAATGAAGTGGGTGAAAGTTTGTCATAGCATCCAGGAAAATATATATGAAGCTCCTTTCCTGTTATGCTATACAGGTGGTAATGGACTCTTATGATGCAGTTGATAAGCGAATGGAAAAAAATTTGACAAAACAATTTATTTGAAAAATGCACTTGGAATGAAGGAAATTAATCATCCCAGTGGCAATGTGAGATTTGCTGTGGTAGAACAAATTAATTTTGTGGTTTATTTCTCTGTAGAAAGGCAAAGTTTATAATTTCTTGAGTGAACTTTATTTTCCTCTACTTGAAAAGCTTAGAGTGCTGTGCTAGAAACATAGACATATTTGATGCTATGGTTTCTTTTAGAAGTGTTAACCTGCATATGGACGGTGCATATGTTACTCTGGGTTGATTTTTGTATCTTGTCAATTAAGGACTCTGTGGTACTTGGGATGGGCACCTGTGCTTTGTATTTAATACAGGAAGGTATGTACTACTCCACATTAAGGAAGTAAGTGGGTAATGCACACGAGTCTCTTCTAGTTAAAAGATTTCTTTTGGTTTTCGTGCTCCACACTGATGATTCCTGGAGCTAGTACAGAGTAGGGTTAGAAATGAGCTTTTTATGGAAGATTCCTCTTGGAAAATATCCATGTTTTGAAAATGCTATAGAAAGTAATGCTGATCACTAAATGAAAATTTCTTGAAGTCGAGACATTATTACTGGCATTTACATATGAAACAGGTATATAATTTTCAAAATGTATCTGAAGCGAGACCAAGTGCAAGAGGCACTTACTGATATTAGAACCATGCAGACTTATCTGTGAGTGACCTCTTCACCAGTCTCACGAGTGTAATGAGCAGCTGAGGGAAGTAACCTGCGGCGTTGTCTTGCGTGCTGGCCACGGCGCCAACTTGCTGCTGAGGAACCTGGGGCCACTGCTAACCTTACGGGACACATGGCGACAGAATACACCCCACCACCCTCTTACTCATATATGTGGGGAAAGCACAGCACTTCTGGCCAATCTGGTTTACTGCCACTGCCCCTGACAGATCACTCCAGTTGGCTAGCTGTGGTATCAACATATTCTTGTAACTTGTGGCATTTTACCATGTGTATATGACTTGATATCGTTCCCTTATTGTTACGCTGTTGAAGAGCGCACTGTATGGGCAACTCTGGGAAGGCTTCATGTTGCTTGACGTGGCTGTGGCAGCTAGTGGGTGTGGGAAGATTTAGAGTTGGCTGTGGCCTACCCAACCAACCACACTCACAAACCACCCACGTGGCACGCCTATGTTACAGTCTTTTAATTTTAATTGGCCCCACACTATTGAATGGATGGGACTCTTTTAGACCCCTCAGCTTTTATACTGATCCAGAGCGAGTGAGGGGGAAAGTGTTCCCTCTTCTCACCACTCTTAGCAGCAAGCTCAACATACCTCGTGTAGTTGTCTTATTGCAATAAACTCAATGTCTCTAATGTTTGCGTATTAGTAATAAACCTTTGGGTCTGAAGCTTCCTGACTTTACACATAAATCTGTAATGAGGAAGTGTATATTAATAGAAAAAGTTGTTGGAGATAGCCTGGCCACTTAAGTAAATATCTACAACCATCCTTTCCCAACCGGTAGTCAATTATCTTCATAATAAAAATGTGATTGTCTTTTGTTGTAATAAGGTCAGGTTATTATTGCTTTGGGTAATTATTTGGATCTAGACTTACTAGTTTGGCAGACAATTTTGGTCTCATTCTGCTAATTATTTGATGCTTAATGGAATGGAGAGGATCTTTCCTTTTGAAAATCCCAAAAAAAAAATTCAACTTCCAAGCAAAGATTAACTAAGATTTTTTTTTTCTTGACCATTTTCCATGATAGCAACAAATCATAACCTAACCTTACCTTACCTTAGTCATGTGTTGTCATGCAGTGTAGTCACAGAGTGGCTGGTGCGTAGAATGATCGAGAGTTCGGAGGGGCTGGGACAATATCATCTTCGGTCAACTTTCCCTGCTGACAAAACTTCTCAACTCGGAAGTAGAAAAAACACCTTTTTATCGTTTCCACGAAAAAGTTTATCTCCATTGCATTAAGCATCAAATATTGGGCAAAATGAGACCAAAATTGTATGCCAAACTAGTGAGTCTAGATCCAAATAATTGCCTCTTTTTTACTTTAGACCCTCAGAAAATGGCCACTGTACTAGTACCCGTATTGAAATTTTGAAGATTATTTATTTAATATTTGGGGGGCAAAAAGAGTCGGGCTTGCCCTTTATTTTTATTTATTTTTTTATTAACTAACTGGATCAGGGAATTTGTTGTTAACACACAGTCGCCATTACCTGAACTACCACCACCTCCTCCCTCCCCCCACAGTCAGCTAGAATTGGGGATATTGACCAGCCAGCAATTTTTTCAATGAAGCAATTTGTCCTACTGCACATTTATGGTATTTCAACAATGTCTTTATTTGCAAAATACATGAGCAAATAAAAAATATGAAACAAAAATTAATACAAGGGTTAATGCATGTTTTGGCAAGTATAAGATGAAATACATCATAACATTTTTAATCACTATACAGGGTGTCTGTAAATGATTACCCTGATTAAAGCATGAGAGCATACTGTTTTAGGGTAATCATTTATGGATACCCTGTACATTTTGATTATATAAAACACCACTGAAATGAATTGTACATAAAGTGCAAGAATCTTGGCTTTCCTCTGGTACCAACAAGAAAATCTAAGATAACTAATAAGGCTGTTCGTAATGGATTTTAGAAAATAAAAGGTGGCCGAAAAAACAATTTTATCTGCACATCATTTTTATATAAATATTTCATCCCGAGTTAATTGTCGTCTTCAAAATAATTAATTTTGTAAGAATTTATTAACTGGTTAGTTCAGGTCTTAAAAGAGTGCTTATGGTGGTGTTAGAATGTATGTTCGATGCATATTGTAATTTCATGTGGTGAGCTGAAATCCCTTCAGCTGGAAATAACTATGGAACACTTCTCTTCCACACTAGATATTATCTATTTATAAAAGTATATAAAATCAAAATGTTTATAGAACTGGGTCCTATACTAAATTTTCCACAGAATCTAGTACTAATGTTTAGTCCCCAATCACTATTACTGTTAATCTGTTAATTAAAGCAGACTCAATTTCTTTGCTACTCTTCAGCACTCGATACGAACAACAAGGCATGAGGAGTCATGATAACGGGACTAAAGTTTGAATCTCCCTAATCACTACACTAGGAAATATTTCTATTATTATTCACAATATACACAATTGGCAACAGTCACTCGCGCGCGTAACCCAGGAGACAGTATGTTGGGATTTAAATGTCCATGCACGAAAGTGAGCCTCCTCGCTCAAGGTCGTAGACCAGACTAATTATTGACACGGTGCCAGAGTTACAATACATTTACACGAGTCTTCATGCTACAATCTTTACTGCATCCATAGTGGATAGTTTTTTAATGCTGTACACTTATTTTTATCTTGACAATGTTACCAATGAGTCCAGGACAGTAAATGTAGCAAAGATTTACGTACACGCCCCTAGCGTCCAAGACCTTGAGAGTGAGAGTATGTATGTCCAGCAAATCACCATTGAAAAATTAAATTATTCTGATTCATGAGTCATTATGACCAGTCCACTTTGAATTGACAATGTGCTTCCTGTATTTGTTGGTGTAGAAGTCAACCTTTGAAGTAAAAAAAAAAAAAATCTTTCCTAAACTAGAAGTCATCTCATTTGCTGAATATATAAAGCACGTACAACCAGAGTAGACAAAGTGCCAATGTTCAAAATCAAGATGTATTCACAAAAGGTTAAGGAAACCACCTCTGTATCCTAAGAGAGACTTGGTTACTAGGTGACAATGTGGTCAATTTTGCTATTGAGTAAAACTATCCACACGTCATAAAACGCAGGACTGGCATTGAGGGTGGCAGAGAAGAAAGTGCCAGAGGTCTCCATTTTCTTAGTGGTCCATTGTTCACTGGTTGTACACACCATATTCTGTATAATGCATTAGACCAAGGAAGTTAGGGGAAGAGGAGTGTCTTGCTTAAGTGGTTTGGCATTGCATTCGGGCTCAAGAACTGCTATGAGAATAAATGACAAAGGTCAGGAATGTGAAGTGAAAGTAGGGTTCTGGCCTGAGCCCCTTTTGTTTGTCTTGGTACTAGAGGCAATATTGCAGACTTTTAGTAATGGTCTGGGAGTTGCATGCAGATAGTATTGAAGAGGTGAAGAAATTTTAGAAATTAGAGGATGGAATAGTCAAGGGTAAGAGAGTAAATGGCAAAAACATAAGTATTAACTAGTGAAATAGGTGAAGTACCCGTGGTGAAAAATGACCAGGTGTTGTCTAATAAAATGGGGCTGGCAGCAACTCAATAATGTGTCAAGTGTTGAAGTTGGGTACACGAGATGCAGTGGTGTAAATGATAAGTCTGCATGATGTCTATGGCTGTGTTGTAAGTACAGTAACCTTGTGGCATAAGCAACACTGGAGAAACTTTGGGAATATATCCCTGGACTGTGTTGATGAGTTCTGTTGCCTGGGTGACAGGTTGCTAGAAGAAATCTAGAGAGTTACTGCCTTTATAGACAGCAAGAGGACCATCCATATGTGAAAGGAATGGTATATGCTAGTGAAACAGGTAGTTAAAGAGGAAATAGGTAGGCTTGAGTGAGCTGAAATGAGAATGGTGAGTTGGATAAATAATGTGACACTGAAAGATGGGAAACCCCTTGCATCAGAGACCAGGGGAGCGGTACAGTTCTGGTCACCCGGTTCCCATCAGGCACAGTGAAGTATAGTTTTACAGTTGGATTCCCTTGCTAATAACAATCCACAAGGTGGGAACAGCTAGCAAGGCAGGGTTGCAATTCCCTGAGGTAATCAAAATCAAGTATAGGATAATAAACACCAAACAGGGGTGACCAGATAAAACCCCAACGGACAAAACCCCAGTCTCATATATAAAATATAAAATAAAACACTTTTATGTTTAGGTTAGATTAGTGTTGATAAATGACAACCCCGTTGGGGTTTTGACATGGAACCCCAAACAGGTACAGTAGCCTCGGGTTATTTTGCAAGTTAGGCACGAACACAAAGTAAAATATTCCAACATAAAAATACAGTGGTCCCTCGGTTAACGAATTAGCTCCCATAAGGATTTTTAGTTCGATTAACGAAATCCTTATGACAAAAACATTTTGTTGTGCGCATCAGCTGATCGGCTAGTCCGCCAATACAGTCAGTTCTGCTATAACGCGATACTTGTGTTCTTGTAAAACATCGTGTTATAGAAATTTGCGTAATAGAAATAACAGAGTTTTTGGAGAAAATAGGGTTAGGTGCAGATTACTACTCAAAATCGAAAAAAATTTAGTAGTTAGCCTAACACAAAGGATAGCTTAGTCTAAATAAATGTTACATTCATATTTAATAATAAAATCATACAGTAAATGTAACACTTTACCTTGAAAAAATATGAATATAACTTGATGGGGGAGAAGGATGATTTTGAGGTAGATAACATCGAGCTTCTCTTCAAGGGTTATAGCCTTTCTTTTACGATCATCACCGGGAATGCGATCACCAGAACTCTTCTTGGAGATACTGTATTCTTCTTTACCATATTCACAGTCAATACCACAAAATTGGAGAAATAGTAAGCAAAAATCGCATTACAGCAAACAAGCGTTCGCGTTATACGAATATCGTTCCTCTATTCATAAATCGCGTTAGAGCCAATTCTCGTTGTCAAAACACACGTTATAGCAGAACTCACTGTACAGTAATTGGTTCTGTTTACATTTGTTTCCAGTGAAGTAAATATCAAGAAAGTTGGTCTCTTGAATATTTTTGCATTTTTTATATTCAAATTATTGGTCATTCTCAAATTTAGTTAACATATTGATAATATAGACAGTACAGGGAACAGTTTTTGTGTGCCCATCAGCTGATTGAATCACCCAACAACGCTTCTCAGTTTAACTTTGTGTACAGTGGAGTGAACATCGATTTTGTTGGTCTCTTGAATATTTTTGCATTTTTACATTAACGTTATTGGTCATTCTGAAATTTAGTTAACATAATGATAATATACAGTGCAGAAATTATTATGAAACATGTAGAAGGCATTAGAACCAATGCACTCTGTAAAGAATATGGCATGTCATCATCGACTGCCTCTACAATCAGCTGTTTGATATGTAAACAAAGCTGCCGGGAATATGACATACACACCTCAAAGTAAGTTAAAATACAGTATTCTATTGTTTTTTTATATATTATTATACAGTATACTGTACAGTACAGTACTGTATTTAGTTTATATTTAATGTTTTGTGAAATTCTATTACCGGTATACAGTACTTTGTATGTACTTTTTCTGTCAGTTGGAACCAATTACCCAATATCCCATTGAAATAATAGATTCGGTTA